GGAAGGCCATGCGCTATCACTCCTGCTAGACAGTCTCACTTAAGGTGACAAGCAGGTCCTGGCCTAAAGGTTTTTAGGAAGATCTTAAGTTCCCAGGGGAGAAGAGGGGCCTAAGGCTCTCAGACGCATTGCCTCTGCTCTGGTGTCCTCCCCTGCCCCTGAGGGCCCAGCTGTGGGCTCCCCCTGTAGGCAGCAAATGATTACCCTCCACCAAAACAGCAAAGCGCCAACAATAGCGTGGACATTTGGGGAGCATTCATCATGTCCTGGGAACTGTGTTCAAAGTCTTCATCTATTTAATATCCATAGTGATTCTGTGATGTAGATGTAATTAGAATCTCCATCAAATAAAAGAAGAAACCAAGGTTTGGAGAAGTTAAGTAACTTGCTGAAGGTCACACAATTGGAAATGTGGGTGCACGTGCTCTGGCGTTAGTGCTCCCCTGAGACGTCGGCCGGTGTCTGAGCCCCAATGCAGTCCACTTCCCCAGCCGGGACTGGAAGCCTTGCCCAGGACCCAGGCCTGTCCCTGCCCAGAGCCAGGTCACTGGGTGTTTCCCACACCTAGTTCCACAGCTCTCTGCTCTCCCAGAGTCAGCATGGTTTCCCTGCCAGGTGCCTGTGGAATACTGGACTCCTCTGATGAGGTGAAGATATTTCACCCCTAATATTGAGTAATGGACTTCTTTCCCCCAGTTTCCACGAAAACTTTGCAAAAACATTCTCAGTTGTTGACTTTTCTTCCTTTGGAGCTCAGTGCTGTTCAGTGCTGGTCGGGCGGTGATGATAACAAAACAACTGGACAGTGGCAAGCGCGTGAGCATTGGCAGAGAGACGTGGAGAAGTGAGCTTTCATACAGCACCCCCTGCCCTGAGCTGCAGAGAGGCCGGGCGCTATGGCAAATACACTCTTTCTGCTAGTACGTTTGCTCCCGGCTGGTAACGATAAAGCTAAAGCTATGTCTGTTTATCAGAGTTCATGGCTTGCAGGTGTTCTGCCAACAAAACAGATTTCAAAATTAGGGGATATTTAAAACTAAAAAAGGCGAAAGTAGGTATTTCTGATAAAAATAGCTAATATGGCCCTGGCTGGTTGCTCAGTGGCCTGCCATCCAGAGAGACCCGGGTTCGGTTCCTGCGCAGGGCATGTACCTCAGTTGCGGTTTGTCCCCGGCCCTGGTTGGGTCGTGCGGGTGGCAAACACTTGATGTGTCCCTTTCACGTTGATGTTTCTCTCTCTCTCCCTCCCTCTCTATCTGAACAACAAAAAATATATAGCTAATATGTATTATGTTGCTTACTACCTTCCAGGCACTGACCTCAGCACTTTTGATCTCATTGAAACCTCACAAGGCCCCTATGAGGTAGATACTATCATTTTACCCATTGTACAGATGAGGAAACTGAGGCTGAGAGAGATTAAGTAGCTTGCCAAAGTCACACGGTTTAAAGCCAGTGAGGATGGACATTGCATGAGCCCAGTCTGACGCGGGGCCGTACTTCTTTGTCTCCAGGCTGAGTGGGAAATAAAGCAGGAAGAACACCCACGCTAGGAAGTACCGTCTCTTTTCCGGTCTGTGGTAGGGCTTTGCCCTTCCTAGAGAGCTACCTCTCTCGACATGACGCTAGTGCCTGGTGTATATTTGAAGTGCACTGGGTCGGGACTCCGTCGGCGCTGAGCTGCCCGTCAGAATTCTCTGCCTCGCAGGGCCGTGGCGCACACAGGACGAGGGGGAAACAGCCTTGCAGGCTGCTTGTGCACCTGTGCTTTGCCAGAGGGCAGCAGGCCCAGGGCAGGAAGGCACATATCCTAGGTGATTTGGGCTTTTGCATAGTACTTAGGCCTCCTAGAGCCTGCCCTTCCAGCCTCAGTGCCCCTTTAACCAGGTTCCGTGGGCTGGCTGAGTTCAAGGCCATGTAGAGTGATTGGAAGGGGGCTAAGTGCTGTACCACTATCCTCTGCCCTGGCCTAATTCTGCTCGTACCATCCTCGCTCCTCTCCCTGTAACCCCTGGGAGTGAACCCACTCAGCACCAGGACCCGATTCGCCTCACATTGCCCGCCTGTGAGGTGTCCTGCAAGAAGAGTCCCTGGTCAGAGGAAGGCCCTCCTGGTCTTACATAACCAGTATCGAGCGCCGGGTGCCGATTCCCAGTAGCCCATACCCCTGCCTCCCTGAATCGCAGCTTCGAGGGAACAACGAACGGCCAGGGTCACGGGGAGGAGCATTCAAAACAGCAGCCACACCGAGGACACACCGATTCCCTCGGCCCACCTCTCTTTTCATTTATGAATTCCGTTTCTGTCAGGCTGAACATTGAAATGCACTCTGTGCTCTCTGGACTTCCCCATTTCTCCCCCTTCCTCATTAAAATTCGAATTATTACCAGAGCAAGTAAGATAGATGTATGATCAAAAGAAAGCAAAGTCCTAGAAATACCTTTTGTTTTAAGATGACTCACTGCAGAGAAGACATCCAGCACAGCTGTAACAGAGCAGAGGTCAGGGTCTAGAGTTAGCCACCTGCGTGGAAGAAGGTCACGTCCATCTGTGGCTGCTCTCGTGAACCCCAGGGGCCTATGGGCCTAAAGAAACAGTCACCAATTCATAACAGCGAAGATTATTTTAAGACCTCCAATATATGGTTATTTGTCCCCATGACATATGCCACACATCAGCAGAAGGAGTACTGCAGAGCTGACTAGCCTGGGGTTGTGGCTCAGTCCCACCACTTACAAGCTGTGTGACCCTGGGCAATCAATCCAACCCTCTGTGCCTCAGTTTCCTCATCTGCAAAATGAGGATAATAACCATACCTATTTCCCCGGACAGTATGAGTAATACTCATATATAAAAAGCACTTTGACCTTTGGACATAGTAATGTTCAATAACTTGACTAAATCCAGTAACAAATGCCATTGTTTCTGTCACTATCAACCTGTATGTACATTAAAGTTTCGATGTCTTATTTTTAAGGTAATAAATCAATATTAAAACAACCTGATGTTTTTTCTCTTGTGCCCCTGGGATGCATGCATACCCTATTGGAGACCTTCAGTCTAGAAGTTAATTTGGAGTCAGCTTTCCTGGTCCTTGGCAGTCTCCGGGGGAAGGATGGACCCAGCTCCTTTGGCCAGGGAAGGCTCCAGTGTCTCCATGCAGGGGCTTGGGGGTTGGTGCGGGTGGCTGAGGACTTGAGGATTCTCTGCTGCTATCCCTTATCCATGAAGGAGGTAGCTGATCAAGGCCGGTTCTTTACAGTCAGGGAGTCGGAGATAGTCCTGGCACCCCAGAGAGGGTGGCTGATGTCCTCCCTCCTTGTCCGGTCCCTCTGGGTAGGAACAGCTTTTCCTGGGACCTGAGGGCTGTGAGAATAATCTGGGTCCTCCCAGGAGAGACCTGCATCTCTGTACTTCAAGTAGAGCTTAGCACCTGGCACAAGGCAAATGCTCAGTAAATGTTGTTTGAGAGATAATTACAGCTCCTTTATGTGCCATTCATTCACTCACTCATTTATTCTCATGGGCCAGTTTCTGTGCTAGGCCCTGAGTCAGACAAATATAAAAAGCACAGGGTTCCAGTAGCCTACATCTTAATCAGGGGCAAACAGGCTGGGATGGTAGACAGAGCCCCAGGCTGGGCAGTGGACATCTGGGCCCTGGTCCAGGCTCTGTGTCTGACCTGTGACCCCAGGCAAGTCCCCTCTCTGGACACTCCTCCTATCTGCAGAAGCACAGCCTGGCCCAGTACTTGTAGGGTCATTTCTCACCTTAATAGGATTCTTAAGGCATCGGGACAGGATAATCCAGGGGCTGAAAACTCATAGGTCTACAGGGGCCAGGCAGGGAACAGGGAGTAGAATTGGTGATGACATCCCCCTGTTCCCACCCTGCATGAGTACAAGTCCAGGTACCAAGTCCTCTGTCCTTTGCCAGAGTAGCAAAAAATCTGGTGTGATGGTGGTGGTGGAATTTCTCAGTTTTCCAATCATCATGCAAGCTATACCAGACTTCTCTGCTGGTGTCCACCGTGGCCTTTGTGCACACCTGCTGGGTGCACCCTTGGTTCAGAGCTTCTGACTCTCTACTCAGAGGAAGAAGAGGCCTTGGGCTCAAAAGATTTTTCCTAAAGGTGAGAGGTCTGCTCAGTTATTTCTCCTGAAGGGAGACATGCTCACAGCTCTCTGGGGAAAGTGGGGCAGGGTTGGGCTGGGGGTGGGGGGTGGGGAAGTGAGCTCCCACCTTTAACCACAACTTTAAAAAATAATCAGTTTTACAGCAAAGCTCTCAAACCACAGGATGGAGAAAAGACAGCTACAGGGTCATTTGTATTTAGCTTCTCCTAAACAAATGGTGAGGGTTGGGTTCCACCTTAATACCAGTATTTATGGAGCCTACTATGCATTAGTAGAAGCGTATAGAAGAAGCTTTAGACCTAATCTGGGTCCTCAAAGCGATGATGCACGATCTCATTCACTTCAAGTCCACTCAGTAACTATTTACTGAGCTCCTGCTTTGGGCTCAGTGGGGTGAGGGGACAAGTTCCTGGAGCCCCTGTTCTTCAAGGCCGCTCAGCCTGTTGAGGGAGAGAGCGAGCGGTGCACGGAAATGACTCGGCTGTGAGTCTGGCCACCATAACAGCTCTCATAGAAATTTTGAGAGCATTCAAATGTGAACGCTTCCCAAATTTGCACATTTGCTTAGGCTGTTATTAAAATTACTTTTCCTTCCCAGTGCACAAGCCAACAAACAGTAGGGTGCTCCCCAAGTTGGCAGTGGGGGTAGGGACCGTGCTGTAAAATCAGACCCAGTGAAGGCCAGGGGACTATGGAGTGTCAGCCCTAAAACCATCATTCCTCCACCTGGGCAGCTTTCTCACAACCATTCTTTTCTCTTCCGTCTTTGTCCCTTGTGTGTGTTCCCTCTTCCAACACCCTTCCTGGCTTCTCCCGGCCTCTGTCTGTCTCTGTCCGTCCCTGCCTGGCTCACGCCGAGGGCAGGCACCTCTGTCGGCCTCCTTGCAGTGGTAGTTATTGTGTGTGGCGTGGCCCTGGTGGCAGTTTTTCTCTTTCTCTTTTGGAAGCTGTGCTGGATGCCCTGGAGGAACAAGGAGACCTCCAGCCCCTCTTCTGCTAATATCCCTCTGGAAGCCCTCCAGAGCCCTATCTCCAGAGGCACCATGGCAGACAAGCTGAAGGACCCCAGCACCCTGGGCTTCCTGGAGGCAGCCGTGAAGATCAGCCACACGTCCCCAGATATCCCAGCTGAGGTGCAGATGTCAGTCAAAGAGCACATCACGCGTCACACACGGCTGCAGCGACAGACCACAGAGCCAGCGTCATCCACCAGGTGAGGGATGGAGCCCTCCCTTCCCTAATCCCACACCTCCACATTCCCTTATTCAATCACAGAGATTCCAGCCTGCGAGGGTCGGAGACCAGAAATAATAACCAGTGAACTATGGTTGGAGAACATTTCAGATGATGTGGTTCATGGGGGTGGTCAGCAAAGTAGGTGGGCAGCAGCAAAGACCTCAGGAAAGGGGAACCTTTTGGGTGGGGTGCTGTGCATGTGGTGTGCGCCAGTATATGAGTGGGTGGGGGGTGTTGGGCGTTTGGAAGGAAGGAAAGACCTCAGGCAGAGGGAAGAGGATATGCAAAGACCCAGAGGCATAAAAGTTCATGGGTCATCTAGGGATATGTCAACAAAGCCTCAGAGACAACGTCTTCATTCAGCACACGGAGATAGGGCAAGAGAGTCTTACCATTTTGAGAATGAGGATTGCTTTATCACCTTTGAAGAATTCCCTGCATGACAGCAGTTGTATACAAGGCATTCTTTAACCGAGAAAGCAAAACCAACAGCTGCCACATAATGACAAAAGTCTGCTCTAAATCCAGAAACACTTTTTTTTTATTAATTTATTTTTGTTACAGATGTTTCTCCCTTTTCCCCCATTGACACCCTCCTCCCCAATCCCCCATCCCCAGCTAAAGAAGTGATACATACAGGCATGAGGCATTGTGTTCACTCACAGCTTGGGGCTCCGTGGACTCCTGGGTCCCCGCAGCGTCTCCCAGCTCCCAGGGACCAGCCGGAAGGAAGGAGGCCCAGTCTCCAGATAGTGCTGGGGTCACATTTACAGAGTTTACCATATGACCTCGAGCAAGTTGCTCACCTTTCCTCAGCCTCACTTTTCCCAACTGTAAAATAGAGCTAATGACTCATGAGGTTGCTATGAGGAGTTCATGAAAGAATCCATAGGACAGCAAGAACTAATGATACATCACTTATTATACACTGGCCCTGTTCTAATGCGTACTTTATATGTATGAATTCACTTCATCCTCACAGAAATCCTATGCAACTGCTACTTTTATTATCCTCACTTTATAGCAAAGAGAAGTTAAATAACTTGCCCAAGGTCACAGAGCTAGACAGTGGCAGACCCCAAATTATCCTATCCAGTCTGACTGCAAAGCCCAGTGATGCTCACTATGGTGATGGGGGTAGTGGCGGTGGTGGAGGGACAGCCACCAGACACATCCAGGAGAGCAGAGGATGGTACTCTTCTTAAGGGATCTCATGTTTAATCTGGGAACCAGATCTAGTCTACTAGGAAGAAACCTGAAAGCAGGTAGGCAGCAGAAAAGTAGGGAGAAGGCTAACACCAACAATGGCTCATACTTGTTGAGCTTACTGTGTACCAGACCCCCTTGCATCTACTTTACGTATATAAAGACCTGTAATATGCACAGCAGCCTGCGCACAAAGTGTGTGCAGAGGAAAAGGGAGCAACAAATGGGAGGAAAAGGGGACTCCCCCCGCCCCCACACACACCCGCGGTAGGATGAGCGAGGGCCAGGGGGTGTGTCTGCCTGCATCCCCGCCCCTGAGCCCTGACCACGCCCTCTGCCCCTGCCCTCCGCCAGGCACACGTCCTTCAAGCGCCACCTGCCGCGGCAGATGCACGTGTCCAGCGTGGACTTCGGCAACGAGCTGCCGCTGGCCGCGGAGCAGCCCACCAGCATTGGGCGCATCAAGCCCGAGTTGTACAAACAGAAGTCGGTGGATGGGGACGAGGCCAAATCCGAGGCCGCCAAGAGCTGCGGGAAGATCAACTTCAGCCTGCGCTACGACTACGAGACGGAGACCCTGGTCGTGCGCATCCTGAAGGCCTTCGACCTCCCTGCCAAGGACTTCTGCGGCAGCTCCGACCCCTACGTCAAGATCTACCTCCTGCCCGACCGCAAATGCAAGCAGCAGACGCGGGTGCACCGCAAGACCCTGAACCCCACCTTCGACGAGAACTTCTACTTCCCCGTGCCCTACGAGGAGCTGGCTGACCGCAAGCTGCACCTCAGTGTCTTCGACTTCGACCGGTTCTCCCGCCATGACATGATCGGCGAGGTCATCCTGGACAACCTCTTTGAGGCCTCCGACCTGTCCCGGGAAACCTCCATCTGGAAGGACATCCAGTACGCCACGAGCGTGAGTACGGCCCTGTCCTTGGGCTTCTTGAGGATTCCTGGTTCTGGGTTGAGGGGGAAGTGTCCCAGCACCCTCACCCTTGGAGACAGATGGGCCTTTACGCTTCAGGATGTGAAGAGGGACTGGGAACTGACCAGTGGCCCGGCCCTCCCAGGGGAAGTTCTTGCATTCTGCCCCAGGTTGGGGTGAGGGGGAGCAGCAGAGCCCCCGTGTCGGTGAGAAGGGAAAGGAATGTTTATCTACTGCTTCTGATCTCATGTTCTAGGTAATTCTCTCTACCTGCTAGGCCTCAGGTTTACCACCTGTAGAGTTACGTTATATGTCTTTTTGATCATGGGTAAGGATTGGGCCAGGCCCATAGACTGAATCCGACAGCAGCGTCCTGGAAAAGGCAACCAAGAACAGGCTGCATCCATGAGGATGCGCCAGGTGGTACCCCATCAATAAACAATCTTAGGGGCTGGTGGCTTCCAGCAGCGATTTTCAGCTGGTGTGCCACAAGAAGTTTTAAACCTGCAGTACCCCACTAGTCAGGGGCACTGGCCTCTTTTCCATTCGATTGTAAAATAAAAAAGTGACAACAGCCAACACAATAAGAGCCATCTGGTGTGAATGAATCAAAATTATACCTATTCTTTTTTTGTCAGATTGGCAAAAAAGATAATATATTTTTGGTGTGCCTGAGAATGTTAGTAATTAGTTTGTGTGCCGTGAGATGAGAAAGGTTGAAAATCGCTAGCTTGAAGCAACCAAGCTGTAGTTCTCGTCCACACCACCCGTGTTCCACAGCCTGGCCAGGACTGCGCTCTCTACCTTGTCACCAGGGATCCAAGCTCCATCTCAACATGTGCTCCCTTTACCACGTCAGAGGAAGGGGATGTGGCAGAGTGTGCACTGTCTCTTAATGCTTCCATGCAGAGGTGACACACGTCACTCCCACTCACATTTCATCAGCCGGAGCAGGACCCATGCAGCTCCTAATATCAAAGGGGCAGGGAAGGTGATCCTTTTCTTGCCAGAATAGGAGTGATTTTCCCTGCCCAGCAGAACTGGGGGTACTTAAACACCAACACAAGTGACAGCCACACGCAGACTCCTTCTCTTCGGCACGGCCTGCCAGGCCAGGCTGGGAGTTGGGGCTTGGGGTGGCCTGAAAGGACACTTGGCTAAGCCCCACATGGGGGAGAGGGGCTGGACTGTTCACACTCACCTGGAATTGACCCGGAAGGTTTCAAGGGGCTAAGGCTCTGTTCAGTTTGAAGAGGAGGGAGGACAGCTCTGGCCGCGACCAGGATCCTCGGCCGGGTGTAGAGGGAGAGCTCCAGGGCCCTGGGGTGCTGAACTGGGATGGTTGCATCCTGCAGGGGTAGGTGGTGAGTCTCTGGAAGCTGTCCAGGCAGCTGAGAGCCCAGCAGGGGCGTGTCCACAGAGCACCAATGGCCTTGCATCTAGTGTCCGGAGAGCTAACCGCTTGCTGTCTCCCTGGATATTTCTCTGGGACAGGGGTGACCCCACTCAGTCTGCACATCCTCCCTTTGGACAGCCAGTACACAATATCTGTGTTGAATCTGTAGGGAGGGAGGCTGGGAAAATCAGTCCTACTTTGATAAGAAAAGGGCAAGAATTTTGATATGTTTGAAGAGAAAGAGAAAGCTTGGTGGGCTCTATTTCGGGTTCAGGGAGGGTCTCTGGGACACCCCAGTCTTATAGCTGGTGCTGATTTTGACTGGTCCAGTCCAATGTCCCCATCCCCCAAAACAGCACCAAGAGCAGGGCCGGCAGCTGGGGGCAGATGGGGCAGGATGCCACAGCAACTCTGCTCTATAAATCACTCTGAAGTTTGCATCGGTGCAGCTCTTCCCTGGTGTCTCCTGAGGCAACAGCTTCATTATAATGACTGTAGAGGTGGAGAAAAGCAGCTCAGCCCTCCTGCACTGGGTGAGACCCAGGGGCCCAGAGAGGGAGACGCGAGGGCCAGCCCTCCAAGGAGCCCCACTTCTTACCAGAATGCTCCCTCTCCTGGGACTTCATCTCTGGGCATGTGTGGAAGCCCCAGTCCTGGAGGAGGCGGTCCGCCCAAGCACCCCACCCCCACCTGGATGGTAAGGTCCTAGATCCTAGAACTCCGTGGCTGTCCCTGCTCTCGTCCCATTCCCCTCCTCAGCCCAGCTTCAGAAAAAAGGCAGGTCATCCAAAAGGTCGTCGTCATCAGTGCTGTTACAGTCCTCCTCCACGTCCTCTGAGCAGAACACTGTGCCGAGCACGGGGGGGGGGGGGGGGGGGGGGGGGGCTGGATAGACGACAGCCAGCCTCTCCCCACCATGGAAATCTATAATCCAGTTACAGAGACAGGACCTGTCCATGCAGTACCTAGTGATGCATAGTAGCAAATGCTGCACCCTGTGTGAGCTGGCAAGACCTGAGAGTTAGGACAGCAGGACAGGTTTCCTGGATGGACGAGGGGGACTAAGCTGGGTGGGGAGGGACTTGATCGGCAAAGAGGAAGGGGAAGGTTCCGTCCGGGAGCAGAGGGTGTCCAGGCCCGGGGGTTTCCCATGCTGAGGAGCCGGTGGCCAGGCTCACACCCTGTCTCGCTCGCCTCTGTCTGAGCTGGATGTCCTGCCTAGGCGAGGCTCTGGGGAGCTCTCAGCAGGTAAAGAGTCAGGCAAAGGAGGGGGAAGGGGAATAAGGCTGGTGCGTTTACCTGTTTCATTTATTTATTTGTTTTTGGTGCTGACTCTAAGATTATAATTATTTTGAGGCGAGAGAGGCCCAAGTCACAGTCGCCAGGAATGATCGAGCACTTGGCCTCTGTATGTGAAGTCCTGAGACCGTGAGGTGGGGGTGGCACAGATGAGCCCAGAGGGCTCCTGCCTCTCCCGCCTGCCGGTCCCCTCCCTAGAGCTGCACTTTGGCCCCAGCTCAGAACTCCCGCAGTTCCTCAGCCCCGCAGGCTGCTCCCTGAACACGCTGGACATTCCTGCCTCTTGCCTTTGCTCTCAAGGCGCCCCGTCAGGCAGGCCTTTCCCCCATCTCTCTGCTTCCCCCCAAACCAACCCACCTTTTATAGCACCCCCGAAGCCAGCCACCATTCTCTGGGTTTGCTCTTGTCCCTTATCCCTCAGTTATATCCCGGAGCATAGTCTGTCTTGCCAAGTGCTCCCGGTGGCTTGGGAACGGCTGTGCCCCACATTCGCTCTCTCTCGTACTGTCCCTTGGGGCTGAGCATGTCACTTTATGCACATGTAAGAACTCAGCACATTCTTGTTGAATGACCAATGGCTTGGCTAATCCAATTACAGCCATGTACAGATGCCCCTTGACTGATCATGGGTTATGTCCCAATGAACTCATCGTACGTTGAAAATAAGTAAGTCAACATGCATTTAATACACCTAACCTACCAAATATCACATCTCAGCCGAGTCACCTTAAACATGCTCAGACGGACATTACCTCGAGCTGGGCACAGTCATCTAACACAACGTACTGTACAGTGTCAGGGTCCCTTCCCTGGTGATCACTTCCCAACATCACGAGAATATCATACCACATATCCCTAGCCCAGGAAAAGATCAAAATTCAACATTCGAATTACAGTTTCTACTGAACACATATTGCTTTTACACCATCATAAAGTCGAAAAATCTTTAAGTCGAACCATCAAAAGTCAGGAACCATCTGTATTGGGGCACAAGGGGAAGGTTATAAAGAAGCAGTGGAGTTGGGTTTGGTCAATCTGGGAAGGCTTCCTGGAGAAGGCAGCCATTTTGAAATGGGTAGAGTCAGAGTTGGTGGGGAGAGACCCCACCTGTGCATTGTTTCAGAGGTATGGTTGAGGTAGGCGGTTTGTGCTTGAAGTGGCAAAGAGATTAACCATTTGGATCAGGTAGTCGGGATCAAAGTGGAAGGTCAGTGACCCACAGGCTGGGTAGGAGGAGAGGTGGCTCAGGGGGGTTATCTGAGGTCACACGAGTCCATGAATGCTGTCCCCTTGTTGCCCCTCGTGCTTGTATCACAGAATCAGATCAGCCCTGGCAGGTGGAACAAGGGGTGCCCTTGTTTTGGCCCCTGCCCCAGGGCTCCTGGTCATTCGAAGCAGCAGAGCCTGGAAGCATTGGCATTGTTTCTCACCACTGAACACGGCGCTTCAAGGCTAGTGGAGTGTATATCCAAGGAGTCCAGCTCTCTGTTGATTGCAAACCTTAAGCCACAAAGGACAATTGCCTCACCATCTCCGGGTTGTTCTGGAGGGAGGCCTAGATAACAGTGAGCTCCTATACCCCCTCCAGGCTGCAGGGTGAGGAGTAGGCAAATCAGATGTGCTAGGGCTGTTGGAGGCTCCTACGGTCCCAGCCCGTCAAGAAGCCCACGCATGGGAAGGAATTGCAGGAGTTTATTAAATCCATCCCAGGCCTCGGCAGGGCTGCCCTGATGCCCCCATCCTGCCTGGCTTGGCTAAGGTGCCCTGATGGTGTTCTGGGTTTTCCCAGCAGCTTGCCGTTTTTCTCTCCACCCAGAACTTTGATTGGCTGAAATCACCGTTCTTTCCTCCCCCACTCCTGCCCCCAGTCTCATTATTTCTACATAAAGCTGTAGATTTATCATTATAATAGAGCCACCGTCACTGGGGTTTGCTAACATCTCTGTAATCTTGTCGTTATTGCCTCAGACCTCAGTGCACACACTATTCCTGTCGCTATTCCTGCTCCTCGTGGTGGCGGGAGGTGAAGGCTGTAATTGGGGCCATAAATATGTGTTGTGCTTGGTGTTAATGGACTCTGCCATCTTCCTGCCGTACCAGGTCCCTGCCAGGTCAGAGTGAACATGTGCACGGGTGCATGTGTGTGTACATGTGTGTGTGCACCTGTGTGTGCACACAACGTATATGTGCATGTGTGTGTTGTTTTGGGAGTGGTGGAGTGCTGGTGTACTTCCAGGGAGCCTGGGCGCAGGTCAGCAGGGAGGCCTTACGTGACGCTGACTGAGCGTCTCCCTAG